CGAGGACTCGGGGAGCGAGACTCGGGGGGAGCGAGGACGCGGGATCGAGGACTGCGGGGAGCGAGGACCGTGGAGCGAGGACTCGGGGAGCGAGGACTCGGGGAGCGAGGGACTCGGGGAGCGAGGACTCGGGGAGCGAGGACTCGGGGAGCGAGGACTCGGGGAGCGAGGACTCGGGAGCGAGGACTCGGGAGCGAGGACCTCGGGGAGCGAGGCTCGGGGGAGCGAGGACTCGGGGAGCGAGGACTCGGGGAGCGAGGACTCGGGAGCGAGGACTCGGGGAGCGAGGACTCGGGAGCGAGACTCGGGAGCGAGGACGCGGAGCGAGGACTCGGGGAGCGAGGACTCGGGAGCGAGGACTCGGGGAGCGCGGACCTGCGGGGAGCGAGGACTCGGGGAGCGAGGACTCGGGGGAGCGAGGACTCGGGAGCGAGGACTCGGGGAGCGAGGACTCGGGGAGCGAGGACTCGGGGAGCGAGGACTCGGGGAGCGAGGACTCGGGGAGCGAGGACTCGGGGAGCGAGGACTCGGGGATCGAGGACTCGGGGAGCGAGACTCGGGGAGCGAGGACTCGGGGAGCGAGGACTCGGGGAGCGAGGATCGGGGAGCGAGGACTCGGGGAGCGAGGACTCGGGAGCGAGGACTCGGGGAGCGAGGACTCCGGGGAGCGAGACTCGGGGGAGCGAGGACTCGGGGAGCGAGGACTCGGGGAGCGAGGACTCGGGGAGCGAGGACTCGGGGAGCGAGGACTCGGGAGCGAGACTCGGGTCGAGACTCGGGAGCGGACTCGGGAGCGAGGACTCGGGGAGCGAGGACTCGGGGAGCGAGGACTCGGGGAGCGAGGACTCGGGGAGCGAGGACTCGGGGAGCGAGGACTCGGGGAGCGAGGACTCGGGGAGCGAGGACTCGGGGAGCGAGGACTCGGGAGCGAGGACTCGGGTAGCGAGGACTCGGGGAGCGAGGACTCGGGAGCGAGGACTCTGGGAGCGAGGACTCGGGGAGCGATGACTCGGGGGAGCGAGGACTCGGGGAGCGAGGACTCGGGGAGCGAGGACTCGGGAGCGAGGACTCGGGGAGCGAGGACTCGGGGATCGAGGACTCGGGGAGCGAGGACTCGGGGAGCGAGGACTCGGGGAGCGAGACTCGGGGAGCGAGGACTCGGGGAGCGAGGACTCGGGGAGCGAGGACTCGGGAGCGAGGACTCGGGGAGCGAGGACTCGGGAGCGAGGACTCGGGGAGCGAGGACTCGTGGAGCGAGGACTCGGGGAAGCGAGGACTCGGGGAGCGAGGACTCGGGAGCGAGGACTCGGGGAGCGAGGACTCGGGGAGCGAGGACTCGGGAGCGAGGACTACGGGAGCGGACTCGGGGGAGCGAGGACTCGGCGATGAGCGAGGACTCGGGGAGCGAGGACTCGGGGAGCGAGGACTCGGGGAGCGAGGACTCGGGGAGCGAGGACTCGGGAGCGAGGACTCGGGGAGCGAGGACTCGGGGAGCGAGGACTCGGGGAGCGAGGACTCGGGGAGCGAGGACTCGGGGAGCGAGGACTCGGGGAGCGAGGACTCGGGGAGCGAGGACTCGGGGAGCGAGGACTCGGGGAGCGAGGACTCGGGGAGCGAGGACTCGGGGAGCGAGGACTCGGGGAGCGAGGACTCGGGAGCGAGGACTCGGGGATGCGAGGACTCGGGGAGCGAGGACTCGGGGAGCGAGGACTCGGGGAGCGAGGACTCGGGGAGCGAGGACTCGGGGAGCGAGGACTCGGGGAGCGAGGACTCGGGAGCGAGGACTCCGAGGGGAGCGAGGACTCGGGGAGCGAGGACTCGGGGAGCGAGGACTCGGGGAGCGAGGACTCGGGGAGCGAGGACTCGGGGAGCGAGGACTCGGGGAGCGAGACTCGGGGAGCGAGGACTCGGGGAGCGAGGACTCGGGGAGCGAGGACTCGGGGAGCGAGGACTCGGGGAGCGAGACTCGGGGAGCGGGACTCGGGGAGCGAGGACTCGGGGAGCGAGGACTCGGGGAGTCGAGGACTCGGGGAGCGAGGACTCGGGGAGCGAGGACTCGGGGAGCGAGGACTCGGGGAGCGAGGACTCGGGGAGCGAGGACTCGGGGAGCGAGGACTCGGGGAGCGAGGACTCGGGGAGCGAGGACTCGGGGAGCGAGGACTCGGGGACGAGGACTCGGGGAGCGAGGACTCGGGGAGCGAGGACTCGGGAGCGAGGACTCGGGGAGCGAGGACTCGGGGAGCGAGGACTCTGGGAGCGAGGACTCGGGGAGCGAGGACTCGGGGAGCGAGGACTCGGGGAGCGAGGACTCGGGGAGCGAGGACTCGGGGAGCGAGGACTCGGGGAGCGAGGACTCGGGAGCGAGACTCGGGGAGCGAGGACTCGGGGAGCGAGGACTCGGGGAGCGAGGACTCGGGGAGCGAGGACTCGGGGAGCGAGGACTCGGGGAGCGAGGACTCGGGGAGCGAAGGACTCGGGGAGCGAGGACTCGGGGAGCGAGGACTCGGGGAGCGAGGACTCGGGGAGCGAGGACTCGGGGAGCGAGGACTCGGGGAGCGAGGACTCGGGAGCGAGGACTCGGGGAGCGAGGACTCGGGGAGCGAGGACTCGGGGAGCGAGGACTCGGGGAGCGAGGACTCGGGGAGCGAGGACTCGGGGAGCGAGGACTCGGGGAGCGAGGACTCGGGGAGCGAGGACTCGGGGAGCGAGGACTCGGGGAGCGAGGACTCGGGGAGCGAGGACTCGGGGAGCGAGGACTCGGGGAGCGAGGACTCGGGGAGCGAGGACTCGGGGAGCGAGGACTCTGGGGAGCGAGGACTCGGGGAGCGAGGACTCGGGGAGCGAGGACTCGGGGAGCGAGACTCGGGGAGCGAGGACTCGGGGAGCGAGGACTCGGGGAGCGAGGACTCGGGGAGCGAGGACTCGGGGAGCGAGGACTCGGGGAGCGAGGACTCGGGGAGCGAGGACTCGGGGAGCGAGGATCGGGGAGCGAGGACTCGGGAGCGAGGACTCGGGGAGCGAGGACTCGGGAGCGAGGACTCGGGGAGCGAGGACTCGGGGAGCGAGACTCGGGGAGCGAGGACTCGGGGACGAGGACTCGGGGAGCGAGGACTCGGGGAGCGAGGACTCGGGGAGCGAGGACTCGGGGAGCGAGGACCGGGGAGCGAGGACTCGAGGGAGCGAGGGACTCGGGAGCGAGGACTCGGGGAGCGAGGACTCGGGGAGCGAGGACTCGGGGAGCGAGGACTCGGGGAGCGAGGACTCGGGGGAGCGAGGACTCGGGGAGCGAGACTCGGGGAGCGAGGACTCGGGGAGCGAGGACTCGGGGAGCGAGGACTCGGGGAGCGAGGACTCGGGGAGCGAGGACTCGGGGAGCGAGGACTCGGGGAGCGAGGACTCGGGGGAGACGAGGACTCGGGGAGCGAGGACTCGGGGAGCGAGGACCTCGGGGAGCGAGGACTCGGGAGCGAGGACTCGGGGAGCGAGGACTCGGGGAGCGAGGACTCGGGGAGCGAGGACTCCGGGAGCGAGGACTCGGGGAGCGAGGACTCGGGGAGCGAGGACTCGGGAGCGAGGACTCGGGGATGCGAGGACTCGGGGAGCGAGGACTCGGGGAGCGAGGACTCGGGGAGCGAGGACTCGGGGAGCGAGGACTCGGGAGCGGACTAGGGAGCGAGGACTCGGGGAGCGAGGACTCGGGGAGCGAGGACTCGGGGGCGAGGACTCGGGGAGCGAGGACTCGGGGAGCGAGGACTCGGGGAGCGAGGACTCGGGAGCGAGGACTCGGGGAGCGAGGACTCGGGAGCGAGGACTCGGGGAGCGAGGACTCGGGGAGCGAGGACTCGGGGCGAGGACTCGGGGAGCGAGGACTCGGGGAGCGAGGACTCGGGGACGAGGACTCGGGGAGCGAGGACTCGGGAGCGAGGACTCGGGGAGCGAGGACTCGGGGAGCGAGGACTCGGGAGCGAGGACTCGGGGAGCGAGGACTCGGGGAGCGAGGACTCGGGGCGAGGACTCGGGGAGCGAGGACTCGGGGACGAGGACTCGGGAGCGAGGACTCGGGAGCGAGGACTCGGGGAGCGAGGACTCGGGGAGCGAGGACTCGGGGAGCGAGGACTCGGGGCGAGGACTCGGGGACGAGGACTCGGGGAGCGAGGACTCGGGGAGCGAGGACTCGGGGAGCGAGGACTCGGGGAGCGAGGACTCGGGGAGCGAGGACTCGGGGAGCGAGGACTCGGGAGCGAGGACTCGGGGAGCGAGGACTCGGGGAGCGAGGACTCGGGGAGCGAGGACTCGGGGAGCGAGGACTCGGGGAGCGAGGACTCGGGAGCGAGGACTCGGGGAGCGAGGACTCGGGGAGCGAGGACTCGGGGAGCGAGGACTCGGGGAGCGAGGACTCGGGGAGCGAGGACTCGGGGAGCGAGGACTCGGGGAGCGAGGACTCGGGGAGCGAGGACTCGGGGAGCGAGGACTCGGGGAGCGAGGACTCGGGGAGCGAGGACTCGGGGAGCGAGGACTTCGGGAGCGAGGACTCGGGGAGCGAGGACTCGGGAGCGAGGACTCGGGGAGCGAGGACTCGGGGAGCGAGGACTCGGGAGCGAGGACTCGGGGAGAGAGGACTCGGGGCAGGACTCGGGGAGCGAGGACTCGGGGAGCAGGACTCGGGAGGAGGACTCGGGGAGCGAGGACTCGGGAGCGAGGACTCGGGAGCGAGGACTCGGGGAGCGAGACTCTGGGAGCGAGGACTCGGGGAGCGAGGACTCGGGGAGCGAGGACTCGGGGAGCGAGGACTCGGGGAGCGAGGACTCGGGGAGCGAGACTCGGGGAGCGAGGACTCGGGGAGCGAGGACTCGGGGAGCGAGGACTCGGGGAGCGAGGACTCGGGGATCGAGGACTCGGGGAGCGAGGACTCGGGAGCGAGGACTCGGGAGCGAGGACTCGGGGAGCGAGGACTCGGGGAGCGAGGACTCGGGGGAGCGAGGACTCGGGGAGCGAGGACTCGGGGAGCGAGGACTCGGGGAGCGAGGACTCGGGGAGCGAGGACTCGGGGGCGAGATCGGGGAGCGAGGACTCGGGGAGCGAGGACTCGGGGAGCGAGGACTCGGGGAGCGAGGACTCGGGGAGCGGGACTCGGGGAGCGAGGAACTCGGGGAGCGAGGACTCGGGGAGCGAGGACTCGGGGAGCGAGGACTGGAGAGCGAGGCTCGGGGAGCGAGGACTCGGGGAGCGAGGACTCGGGGAGCGAGGACTCGGGGAGCGAGGACTCGGGGAGCGAGGACTCGGGGAGCGAGGACTCGGGGAGCGAGGACTCGGGGAGCGAGGACTCGGGGAGCGAGGACTCGGGGAGCGAGGACTCGGGGAGCGAGGACTCGGGGAGCGAGGACTCGGGGAGCGAGGACTCGGGGAGCGAGGACTCGGGGAGCGAGGACTCGGGAGCGAGGACTCGGAGGAGATCGCGAGGACTCGGGGAGCGAGGACTCGGGGAGCGAGGACTCGGGGAGCGAGGACCTCGGGGAGCGAGGACTCGGGGAGCGAGGACTCGGGGAGCCGAGGACTCGGGGAGCGAGGACTCGGGGAGCGAGGACTCGGGGAGCGAGGACTCGGGGAGCGAGGACTCGGGGAGCGAGGACTCGGGGAGCGAGGACTCGGGGAGCGAGGACTCGGGGAGCGAGGACTCGGGGAGCGAGGACTCGGGGAGCGAGGACTCGGGGAGCGAGGACTCGGGGAGCGAGGACTCGGGGAGCGAGGACTCGGGGAGCGAGGACTCGGGGAGCGAGGACTCGGGGAGCGAGGACTCGGGGAGCGAGGACTCGGGGAGCGAGGACTCGGGGAGCGAGGACTCGGGGAGCGAGGACTCGGGGAGCGAGGACTCGGGGAGCGAGGACTCGGGAGCGAGGACTCGGGGAGCGAGGACTCGGGGAGCGAGGACTCGGGGAGCGAGGACTCGGGGAGCGAGGACTCGGGGAGCGAGGACTCGGGGAGCGAGGACTCGGGGAGCGAGGACTCGGGGAGCGAGGACTCGGGGAGCGAGGACTCGGGGAGCGAGGACTCGGGGAGCGAGGACTCGGGGAGCGAGGACTCGGGGAGCGAGGACTCGGGGAGCGAGGACTCGGGGAGCGAGGACTCGGGGAGCGAGGACCTCGGGGAGCGAGGACTCGGTGGAGCGAGGACTCGGGGAGCGAGGACTCGGGGGCGAGGACTCGGGAGCGAGGCTCGGGGAGCGAGGACTCGGGGAGCGAGGACTCGGGGAGCGAGGACTCGGGGAGCGAGGACTCGAGGGGGAGCGAGGACTCGGGGAGCGAGGACTCGGGGAGCGAGGACTCGGGGAGCGAGGACTCGGGGAGCGAGGACTCGGGGAGCGAGGACTCGGGGAGCGAGGACTCGGGGAGCGAGGACTCGGGGGGAGCGAGGACTCGGGGAGCGAGGACTCGGGGAGCGAGGACTCGGGGAGCGAGGACTCGGGAGCGAGGATCGGGCGAGGACTCGGGGAGCGAGGACTCGGGGAGCGAGGACTCGGGGAGCGAGGACTCGGGGAGCGAGGACTCGGGGAGCGAGGACTCGGGGAGCGAGGGACTCGGGGGAGCGAGGACTCGGGGAGCGAGGACTCGGGGAGCGAGGACTCGGGGAGCGAGGACTCGGGGAGCGAGGACTCGGGGAGCGAGGACTCGGGGAGCGAGGACTCGGGGGAGCGAGGACTCGGGGAGCGAGGACTCGGGGAGCGAGGACTCGGGGAGCGAGGACTCGGGGAGCGAGGACTCGGGGAGCGAGGACTCGGGGAGCGAGGACTCGGGGGGAGCGAGGACTCGGGGAGCGAGGACTCGGGGAGCGAGGACTCGGGGAGCGAGGACTCGGGGAGCGAGGACTAGGGGGGAGCGAGGACTCGGGGAGCGAGGACTCGGGGAGCGAGGACTCGGGGAGCGAGGACTCGGGGAGCGAGGACTCGGGGAGCGAGGACTCGGGGAGCGAGGACTCGGGGAGCGAGGACTCGGGGAGCGAGGACTCGGGGAGCGAGGACTCGGGGAGCGGGAGGACTCGGGAGCGAGGACTCGGGGAGCGAGGACTCGGGGAGCGAGGACTCGGGAGCGAGGACTCGGGGAGCGAGGACTCGGGGAGCGAGGACTCGGAGCGAGGACTCGGGGAGCGAGGACTCGGGGAGCGAGGACTCGGGGAGCGAGGACTCGGGGAGCGAGGACTCGGGGAGCGAGGACTCGGGGAGCGAGGACTCGGGGAGCGAGGACTCGGGAGCGAGGACTCGGGGAGCGAGGACTCGGGGAGCGAGGACTCGGGGAGCGAGGACTCGGGGAGCGAGGACTCGGGGAGCGAGGACTCGGGAGCGAGGACTCGGGGAGCGAGGACTCGGGGACGAGGACTCGGGGAGCGAGGACTCGGGAGCGAGGACTCGGGGAGCGAGGACTCGGGGAGCGAGGACTCGGGGAGCGAGGACTCGGGGAGCGAGGACTCGGGAGCGAGGACTCGGGGAGCGAGGACTCGGGGAGCGAGGACTCGGGGAGCGAGGACTCGGGGAGCGAGGACTCGGGGAGCGAGGACTCGGGAGCGAGGACTCGGGGAGCGAGGACTCGGGGAGCGAGGACTCGGGAGCGAGGACTCGGGGAGCGAGGACTCGGGGAGCGAGGACTCGGGGAGCGAGGACTCGGGGAGCGAGGACTCGGGGAGCGAGGACTCGGGGAGCGAGGACTCGGGGAGCGAGGACTCGGGGAGCGAGGACTCGGGAGCGAGGACTCGGGGAGCGAGGACTCGGGGAGCGAGGACTCGGGAGCGAGGACTCGGGGAGCGAGGACTCGGGGAGCGAGGACTCGGGAGCGAGGACTCGGGCGAGGACTCGGGGAGCGAGGACTCGGGGCGAGGACTCGGGGAGCGAGGACTCGGGGAGCGAGGACTCGGGAGCGAGGACTCGGGGAGCGAGGACTCGGGGAGCGAGGACTCGGGGAGCGAGGACTCGGGAGCGAGGACTCGGGGAGCGACTCGGGAGCGAGGACTCGGGGAGCGAGGACTCGGGAGCGAGGACTCGGGGAGCGAGGACTCGGGGCGGACTCGGAGGGGAGCGAGGACTCGGGGAGCGAGGACTCGGGGAGCGAGGACTCGGGGAGCGAGGACTCGGGGAGCGAGGACTCGGGGGAGCGAGGACTCGGGAGCGAGGACTCGGGGAGCGAGGACTCGGGGAGCGAGGACTCGGGGAGCGATGGGGCGAGGACTCGGGGAGCGAGGACTCGGGGAGCGAGGACTCGGGGAGCGAGGACTCGGGGAGCGAGGACTCGGGAGAGCGAGGACTCGGGGAGCGAGGACTCGGGGAGCGAGGACTCGGGGGAGCGAGGACTCGGGAGCGAGGACTCGGGGAGCGAGGACTCGGGAGCGAGGACTCGGGGAGCGAGGACTCGGGGAGCGAGGACTCGGGGAGCGAGGACTCGGGGAGCGAGGACTCGGGGGGAGCGAGGACTCGGGGAGCGAGGACTCGGGGGAGCGAGGACTCGGGGAGCGAGGACTCGGGGAGCGAGGACTCGGGGCGGGACTCGGGGAGCGAGGACTCGGGGAGCGAGGACTCGGGGAGCGAGGACTCGGGGAGCGAGGACTCGGGAGCGAGGACTCGGGGAGCGGGACCACATGACAGAAACTTTAAAAAACCCCAAGTTCCATGTTACAGACACGGTCAAAGAAATCCTCAGGCTCCCCAACCCATATCAAATTTTTAACCCAGGAGCACTTAGCTACCAGCTTCTGAATTTTACTTACTTACAAACAACTTCATGGGGAATGTAGTACCACCAGGGTTTTCCCATTCTGAGTAGTCACCACCAGTGTTACTAGCTCATAGAGCGTCCCAAACTATTTCACAGAGATTGTAGGAAACAGGGAGCGAGGACTCAGGGAGCAGGACCACATGACAGAAACTTTAAAAAACCCCAAGTTCCATGTTACAGACACGGTCAAAGAAATCCTCAGGCTCCCCAACCCGTATCAAATTTTTAACCCAGGAGCACTTACCTGCCAGCTTCTGAATTTTACTTACTACCAAACAACTTCATGGGGAAGTAGCACCACCAGGGTTTTCCCATTCTGAGTAGTCACCACCGATGTTACTAGCTCATAGAGCGTCCCAAACTATTTCACAGAGATTGTAGGAAACAGGATGAAAAAGCGGCCTACTTAGGAACACTGATTCCATTTCACCAGGACAGTAGAAAAAGCACCCTAAGTAACCTGAACCTCATATTCCCCTAGAGTGGCAAGTCTTCCCATACTCCTCATGCTTCCTTTATAGCAAACGTCAAATGATCCCCACCTGGCAGATTTCACTTCACATGTGTGGAGTCATGAGACCTTGTGGAATAGGCTCATCAACCTAGGTTTCAATGTTTAAGGTTCAATTGCTCCTTATCGCTAATAGAAATAACCTGGCTTAGTGGTTAGAGTTGACCTAATGAATTAAATACAAAAGGCACGTAAGGCTCATATTTCTGCTAGTCATTCTGTGAGGAAAATTAGTACAGAGCCTGTTAAAATAAGACCAATAAACTTAAATAAAATAAAAAAGAAAATGACCTAAAAGGCAAAATTGCTGTCATAGATTTTCATCTGTCTAGTCACAACAGATAAAGAATATAGCAATCAGAAAGACTTTGCTTGACATTAATGTTGCTTAAATTTGCCTTTCTGAGATCTCTTCTTTATGCCGGACTTTTCAAAATCTAGCGCCATGACCTCCGACTGCAGTATTTCCTTTGGCTGCACATAAACTATCACGTATAATTGCCAGGATACGTTTAGATGTAGAGCTTAGCGATATGGTTTAGTGGAGGACTTGTTAGTGTTAGGTCAGAGGTTGGACTCAATGATCTTGAGGTCTCTTCCAACCTAGAAATTCTGTGATTCTGTGATACGGATCCTCACTCCCTGTTCAGGTCAAGGACCGGGCTGAAAGTTTTGGCTTCAATTTGGTTACATGACTACATTGCTGTTGTCATGGTTTCCCCTAGCCGGCAGCTAAGCACCACACAGCCGTTCGCACAGCCGTTCATTCGCTCAAGGCTTGTTGGAGCTGTGCCAGGGGGAACAATGGCAAGGCCGGGAGAGAAGGCAATGGCCCAGCTGAAGGGCATCTACACCAATGCACGCAGCATGTGTAACAAACAGGAGGAGCTGGAAGCCATCGTGCAGCAGGCAGGCTACGACTTGGTTGCCGTCACGGAGACGTGGTAGGACCAGTCTCATGACTGGAGTGCTGCAATGCCTAGCTATAGGCTCTTCAGAGGGGACAGGCAGCACAGAAGGGGTGGTGGTGTGGCTCTCTATATTAGAGAGTCTTTCAATGTTGTGGAACTCGAGGCTGGGAATGGCAAGGTTGAGTCCCTTTGGGGTAGGATCAGCGGGAAGGCCAACAAGGCTAGCGTCCTGGTCGGGGTCTGTTACAGACCGCCGAACCAGGATGAGGAGACGGATGAGGAGTTCTACAGGCAACTGACAGAAGTTGCAAAATCATCCGTGCTTGTTCTTGTGGGGGACTTCAACTTCCCTGACATATCCTGGAAGCACAACACAGCCCAGGTAAAGCAGTCTAGGAGGTTTCTGTGGAAGGTAGTTTCCTGATGCAGCTGGTTAGTGAGCCTACCAGGGGTGGCGCCCCGCTAGACCTTCTCTTCACAAACAGAGAAGGACTGGTGGGAGATGTGGTGGTCGGAAGCTGTCTTGGGCAGAGTGACCACGAAATGGTGGAGTTCTCTATTCTTGGCGAGGCCAGGAAGGGGACCAGTAAAACCGCTGTATTGGACTTCCAGAGGGCTGACTTTGAGCTGCTCAGGACACTGGTTGGTAGAGTCCCTTGGGAGGCGGTTCTGAAGGGCAGAGGAGTCCAGGAAGGCTGGGCGCTCTTCAAGAGGGAAATCTTAATGGCGCAGGAGCGGTCTGTCCCCACGTGCCCAAAGATGAGCCGGTGTGGAAGAAGAACGGCCTGGCTCAACAGAGAGTTGCAGCCTGAGCTTAGGAGAAAAGAGAGGGTTTATAATCTTTGGAAAAAAGGGCGGGACACTGAGGAGGACTATAAGGATGTTACAAGGCTGTGCAGGGACAAAATTAGAAAGGCCTAAGCTCATCTGGAGCTCAACCTGGCTGCTGCCGTTAAAGACAACAAAAAATCTTTTTACAAATATATCAATGCAAAACGGAGGATTAAGGAGAATCTCCATCCTTTACTGGATGCGGGGGGAAACCTTGTTACAAAAGATGAGGAAAAGGCAGAGGTGCTTAATGCCTTCTTTGCCTCAGTCTTTAGCGGTAATACTGGTTGTTCTCCGGATACCCAGTACCCTGAGCTGGCGGAAGGGGATGGAGAGCAGGATGTGGCCCTCACTGTCCACGAATAAATGGTTA